TAAATTCAGTTCTTTATGCTACACTTTCAGAATTTTTTCAAATTGAGTCAGCCTCCATACTGCTCGTTGTGTATAATTCGCGAATGTTCATTTTCGCCTGTGATATTCCTATTCGTGCCATACAATCTCGATTGGCTTGCGATCAGAAGACTAAGGCGACGTTTCCAGTAGTATTGGACAAATCAATCCCACACTAAATATGATTTGTGTTTCGGGTCCTCATCTTGTTAAAATTTAAACGAGTTTTTGATGCCCAGTGTGTCAACTGATTTGTGTAAAGTTTCTTTCAGCATGTTGGGATACTGATGTTTGTTCATTGGGTTTTTAATAAATGCCAGCTCCCTCAAGCCAGCAGCTGATGTGCAGCCTCACACCATTATAATGTTCGCCTCTGTGTTTCACAGTTGGCACTATGTTTTTAGGATGAAATTCTGTATTTGGTTTGCGCCATATCATTTTCCTATCGTTACTGCCAAAAATATTAAACTTTTTCTCATCTACAAAAATTACCTCACGCCACCACTTCTCTGATTTCGTCACACATATTCCTTAACAAACAAGTCGTTTAGCTCTATTCCCAGCACCGATAAAGGGGTCCTTCCTGGCCACTGCCGTGATATCCGGCATTCCTAATTACTTTGCGCACTGTTTGGGTGTGCACAGATGTTCCTGACACTTCGCTTAGTTCCGCTGCCAGGTAGACGGCTCTAACCTTCGAATTTTCTCGCACTTCCCTCAAAATTGCACGCTGCTCTCTTTCGCGAATCTTCTTACGTTGTCCTTGTTGCGGTTTAAATTTAATTCTGTCCTCTTCCTCAAATTTGCTAATGATATCGTGCACCGTGCTCTTGCTCATGAGTAAAAGATTTGCAATCTCCCTGCAGGACCGTCCCTTTGCATGTTGGAAAACCATAAACTGCCTCTGCTCGAACTTTGCGTTCTTTCCCTTGCGCCCCATTGCAAGAGGTGTTTCCAGGCGGAAATATTTATAGCGACTGACTGCATAGTTTTGTTTGTCCTGGGTAGGCGATGGTGCGTTTATCGCGCTATCTAGAAGAGTGGCGAGGGGGTTACAGGACATTTTTCATTATGTGTCCAAAAATTAATGTGATTTCGTATTCTTCATATATTCACAAATAAATCCATGTTTGTGAAACGTATGTTGTGCATCAAGAACATTTTCTCTGCATTATTCTGCTTCCTAATAATAAAGATACAGTTCCTTTTCATTTCTTCAGGTGTAACGTCCGCGCACGTACAAAAAATTACAATCAAACAAGAAAACCCTTATGTATTTGTGGCTGTCCGAATATTAATGTGAGCCACTGAAGATGAAATTATCTTCAGGATCGGGGTTTCTCTGGGTCAGAAATCCAAATGGAATGGGATCAGGTGTGCTCAACATACGCTACTGAATAAAATTGCAATAAATTATTTTAATGCTGTTCCTGAAGGGAATCCAGAATTTATTCCTTGAATTCTTGCTCCAATTGCTTTTACAATGTCAAGCACTTGTTTACTTAAATTTCAAACTACACAAAAAACAAATTGCAATTTACGTGTCTAATGGTGATTATTGAAGACTTAATAATTCGTTCCGTGAGTCTCTAATAGTTTTCTTTGAACACTATCACATAACTTTCCATTACGCTCATCTCGTATTTACAATGTGATTTCTCTGTTTACAGTTGATGAGATCATGGGTCGTCGCCACTACCGGAAGTGGGCACCCTTTGACGCAATGCTCTCGTGGCCCAGTAGCGAAGTCGCTTGCGTCGAATCCCCACAGAACCTCATGTGAATTTTTTTCCAACAAATCGAGTTTAGCTGCTTCACAAGGGCTAGGCGAACCCCTGTGAAGTGTCCTAGACTGTACCCCAATCCTAATTCCTTCCCAATTCTGGTCGCTGAGTAGTGACGCAGGGGCGCGTAGTAGGAGGCGCGTACGCGAAGACTATTCTTGGCGGTCCTCTTGACAACTGACTGCGACGAGACGTGACGGATATGACATCGAAATATTAATGGAGGATTACTCCCGCGCTGATATTAATGGAGGATTTCTCCGAAAGCGCAAAGCGCTCACCGCCCCCCCCCCCCGGGGGCTTGGAGACGTGTTGCGTCAATTGAAGACGCCACAAATTTTAAAAAATTAA